AATTTTGAGGGCTATTGCACGCATTTCATGATTCTTTGAAGTACATTTGCAAAAATTGATTTATGCATGGTACAAGATGGCAGGGAGTCACTATAGTTTTACAAAGCTCGAATTTGCAAAATTTGCCACCCTAAAAAATCTTGCACTATATGGTATAAGATACCATGTAGATGAATTTTCCCATAAATTCAGCAGATTTTGCATGTAGTTTGTACGTTGCACCAAATTTTTATTCACCAAAATAAATGTACATGTAGTTGATCAAGTATTTCAATTATTAGGTAGAATCATTGTCTATTCAAGGTGATACTGAATCAATTAAAGAAGTTGAAGTATATCTCATTAGTTTGTATTAATTGTAATAATTATTAATAGGAAGAACCACTTTATGAAGAGTTGACCGTATTGAGCTCTCATTTTAATGAGATACTGAAAGAAAACAAAAAATTGTCAAACAAATTATCAAAAATGAAGGTTGAGTATTTGAGATCACTTTCTAGTAATACTGGTTCAGGTTAGAGTAGTTTTTTCAATTATATTGATATTTATATAATGTATTAAAGCTGCTAGCAAAGTGAGAAGAGGAATGGTTTTTGAAATTGATGACTGCAAATTTCATCTTGAAGCAATGACAAGACCAGACTATCAGCCATTGGTAGATAATAAAAGAATAATAGAGAAATTACAAGAAAGAATAACATTGATGAATATGGAACTAATTACTGAAAGAGAACGCAATGAGAAGATTATAAAAGATATTAAAGGTTTAATTGATGATGTGTATTCATCATTTTATTGTCAATTAGATTTGAAAGAGACTGAGGGTGAAGAGATTGAGTATGATAGTCTGAGTGATGATGAAGTGGAGAATCAAATTTGTGCAGTAAGAGAGACTGAGACAATGAGTACACTCAGTACATTACTTTTATTGTATAGTTCAAAGTGCATTGCAAACATCCTGTTACTGGTAAATTAAAGAAGTCAACACTTAGAGTTCATAAAGATGAATTACTACCCACAGTACTGGATAAAGCTTATGAGGTTAGTTGATCTATTTCTCTTTATTTTTGCTTTTTGTTTTTCAGTTAATGGAATTAGCTCCTCATATTCCTATTGAGAGATGTCGTTTAGTTAACTATGATTATCAGAATGATGTAATGCATCAGTCCTTTGATCATGATGAAGTGAGTTTTATCTACTGTATATTCTTCAAAATTTTATTTTTTAGTTTTGTGATCATATTAAAATTACAGAGTTTAACCCTTTTTTGTATTTATAAAAGCCAAAACAACACTTGTAGTACTGCAAGCACTCTAGCAGTTTAAGGGGGGGTTGATATTTTTAATATAAATGCATCTCAAGCCCTCCTTGACTGATTCTTCTCTACACTATACATCTAGTGCCCTTTGTATTGTCTTATCATCTTATCCTTAAATTTAGTCTCAGCATCTAACTATTGGAGAGATTGCTGGTGGGGATGGAGCTTATTATTATTTTAGACTATTCTTAGAAACTCGTAAAGAAAATGAAAAATTTAAGAAATACAAAAATGCCTCTGATGAACTACTATCTACATTCAATGGTGTACATGTATAGGTATTAATCTAAAGATATCAATGGTTGATCTGTCATCTGGTGAAGTAAAACCAGCTAAACGAATGAGAGGTGAAGAATGTTGGACTGTTGGAGAGTTAAAACAATATATAGGAGAAGTAAGAGGAAAGATTTATATTGTTCCTCCCTTGAACCAGTCCCTTTCTTTTTCTAGTTATTTAATATCAATTTATTGTGCTTGAGATTATTAATGAAGGAATATGGCTACATGTATGCTACTTCAGTTCGAGATATTACAAATGTAGAAAGTTGTTTAGAGAAGATGCTTTATCAAGGATATCCATTTACTTTCAGCAGACAACACAGACAGGTACATGCTAACTGCAAGGGATAAAAGTTATGGGGTAGCATTATTGCATGCAACTTTGTGCTTTTTTGAAATTTTTGCTGCCTCAAATAGACTACTGCTCTACTTTGTTCTCAGTAGCACTATAATTTGCATGAAGAATATTTGTGGCTTTTCCAAATTTTTTTCTTTTTGAAATGTTAGGGGTTCATGGGAATGTGATGCACGCATGTGGTGAAAGAAATTTACGAATGCTTCTCACAAAAATTTTGTGCCAAAAAATTATATGCTATACAGTAATTTATCAACATTTTCCCTATACAATATACTGCCAGCACACCAAATGAAACAAATATTTTTGCAACTATTAGATTATACATGTAGCTAATACATGTACCTGTGTTATACTGATTTTTTGTATATTTGTCACTTTCCTATTTTTGCATGTGCCCACTAACACACACACACACATTTCTCAGTTCAATATGTATGTATCGTCAGATCCTGAAGATTATCGAAAAGAATTCCATAATAGTTTGATGTACAGATATGTTGAGAATCACATCTACTGGATACTGCTGAACATTACAATACCTCCTCAACCTGAAGCCACTCACACTACAACTCGAAATGACACTATTGTACATGTATCTGAAGCTGAAAAAAGAATGATGATAAAAATTATCTCAATTACTGAAGAAAATAAAGGAAAAGAAAGAAGTAATGTATTGCTAAATAAACTTGTCTTCTATTCTTTAATACAGAGATACAAGTCCAAGTTGATAAGAGAATAACATTAGCTCAATTGAAGGAGGAGCTGGTTCCACTGATTGCTGTACCATTTACTGGTTTTAGAGTGTATAGAATCAGTAAGTACAGAGAATATGAAATGGAGAGATTGGATGAGGCATTAATGGGTACTAAATCTGGATCGGAGGTAGTTTTGTGTATTATTTGATTTACTTTTTTTGTTTCTTTATTTACCCTACAAGTAGTTGATAATAAGACTGGGTAGAGCTGCTAGACCATTAGGAAGAAGAGAGTACAGAATTAAATTATATTTGTTACAAGTTTACAATACAGAAGTAAGAATAATTATTCAGTTGTTATTTTTATGTTGTTTTAGTTTTGTAAGTTTATGATGGATTTTATTATTGCTAAGAATACACAAGTGCATAAATTTAAGAAACAAATTATTGAAGAAGCAAAGGTACAAGGAATTGATTGTGTTCTTGAATTAGACAAGTAAGTAAAAATACATCATGATAAATATCATGTGACTTATTGTGTAGAATGAGGTTACGTTACAAGAGAGGAGTGTACCCTAGCACAGTATATCCTGATCATGAGTTGATTAATACAAGGCTAAGTAGGGAAATACCTGTACATGTATATGTGGAACCATTGAAAGGTCAGTAGTTAGTATTTTAGTATACTGTACATATGTACATAAATGTACTTATACATGTACAATTGTACATGAAATAAGTTACCATACATTAGAAAATTAGCAGCCTGTAAGAAATAGCCAAATCATTCTGTGCATGCTATACTAACATGTCGTGCTAAACTACCAATATTAAGAATTGCAAATAAATTAAGCAACAAATTTAGTTTCTGAAAATATTCCAGCTGTATGGT